CTCAATTTCTCGGAAAGCGAGGTTTTGGAAAGTCTGAGGGATAGTGATGGGTGGAAAGCTCCGGGGCCTGATGGCTTCTCGTGGGAGTTCTATAAGAAGTGCTGGGATCTGATTCGTATTGAGGTGCTACAGGCTTTGAACGAGTTCCACGAGTCGGGCTCTCTTCCGATGTGCGCCACACACTCGTTTTTGTGCCTAGTCCCAAAGAGAGATGCGGTGGAGGACATTAAGGACCTTAGGCCTATTAGTTTGATGGGAAGCCTAAACAAACTAATTAGTAAGATTTTGGCGAGAAGGCTTAGCATGGTGCTCCCAAAACTTGTTTCTTCTTCTCAACAAGCTTCGGTTCGGGGTAGACAGATCTCGGAGGCAGGCCTCATTGCTTTTGAACTCTTGGACAGCAGGAAGAAAAGTCGGAAACCGGGATTAATGTTTAAGCTGGATATCGAGAGGGCGTTTGATAATGTCAGTTGGAGTTGTTTGTTTAGAGTTCTCTTTGCCATGGGGTTTCCAAGGAAATGGGGTGAGTGGATCCGTGGGACGATGTGCTCGCCGGTAATCTCGACTATTATTAATGGGGAAGCCAAAGGGTTCTTTAAATCTGAGAAGGGTCTTCGTCAGGGAGACCCGTTATCGCCGGGTCTGTTCGTGCTGGTTATGGAGCTGCTCTCGTTTATGCTGTCCAAGCTTAAAGAGGAAGGCAAAATCAGGGGTTTTTGTATGGATGAGCTAAGAGGGAGTGGTGAGGTCACCCATTTACTGTTCGCTGATGATACGCTGATCCTTTGTGATGCTTCCACGGATCAAGTGCTTAACATCCTGGCTACCCTTGTTTGCTTCCAAGCCATCACAGGGCTTAAAATCAATCTTGAAAAATCGGTGATGATCGCTGTTGGGGATGTTCCTAACCCGGAGTATTTTGCTGCTGTGTTTGGTTGTAATTGGACTACTGATGTCACTAAGTACCTGGGGTTTCCTCTTGGAGCTAAGGTTAATTCGAGTGCCATTTGGGATCCTATCATTGAGAAATTTGAAAAGCGTTTAGCAGGATGGAAAGGCAAGTATCTCTCACTTGGCGGTCGCTTGGTTCTGAATAATGCAGTTTTGGGAAGCCAACCAGTTTATTATTTCTCTTTGTTCCAAGCCCCTAGAGGAGTAGTTAAGAAAATGGAAAGAATTCAGAAACGATTTATTTGGTGCGGGGCTAGAGAAGAGTGGAAAATCCCTCTTGTTAAATGGGATTTGTGTAAAACATTAAAAGAGAAGGGGGGACTTGGAGTGAAGGATTTAAGTTGCTTCAATCAGGCACTCCTATCTAAGTGGCTATGGAAGTATGCTAATGACAGAGGTAGTTGGTGGCGGGAGCTGATCTCCATTAAATTCCCCTCTGATTCGGAATGGCATAGTAAAAGATGTAGAAACGGATACGGAGGGTCGGTTTGGGCTAACATTACAAAAGCCTATGACTCCTTCTGGAAAGTTTGCCATATTGATCCAGGGAGTGGTGCTTGGGTTTCCTTTTGGAAAGATTGCTGGATTCCAAACCTTATCTTGGCCGAAACCTTCCCAAGAGTTGCTGCTGCCGCCGCCATGCCGGATGCCCGTGTGTCGGACCTTGCCAGCAATACAGGTACGCACACAGAATGGAATATTGAATTTAATATCACCTTGAGAGGGGGCGCTGAGAGAGAGAGATCAAACTTGTATAATCTTATCTTTTCTGAGGCTTCTAATATTGCCCCGTTCGGGCCAAGTAAGCTGGTCTGGTCGACGAATCCAGATTGTAGGCTTTCTGTTTGTCTTTTGTACAGGCACTGGATTAGCAGAAGCTGCCCTGGCGTGCCTGACTTTCCATATGATTCTGTTTGGCGTGGCGAAGTTCCTACCAAGATTCGAGCCTTCATGTGGTTGGTGGCGCACAACAAAATACTTACCCTCGATAATCTGCAGAAGAGAGGATGGGCCTTGGCCAATAGATGCTCTTTGTGCTACAACTCGGAGGAAACCAGTAACCATTTGTTCGTTGAATGTCCTTACACCATGCAAGTTTGGAGTGAGATGGGAAGAAGATGTAGCAATCTGATCATGCCTGGAAGCGACATCCTAACAACCATTAGGAGATGGGACAGCAATAAACCAGAGAATATAAATGATTGGGTCTTGTATGGTGCTCTACATGTGATTTGTTGGCAGGTCTGGAGGGAAAGAAACCAGCGAATCTTTAGAGATCAAGCTCTCAGTTCTGCTACTGTTTTCAAGAAGTCATTGGCCTCAATTTTGGAAGGGCTGGCTGCCCATGGTAGGATCTGCAGGGAGCAAGTGAGGGATTGGATGGAAGGCATGGAATCTAGTTAGGCTGTTGCTTTTTGTTTTTTTTATCTCTTTGGTACCGCTGCAGTTGCTGTAGGTTGAGGTGGGATGAGCTGCTGGGTTTGTTCTGGTGCCTTGTCCCCCGTTTCCCCTTTGTGTTTTCCTTTTCGGTTGGGGGCTGTTTCCCCTGGGACGGTTCGGTTTTTCTTTTTTTTCTTTTGTACTGGTGGGCTGGGAGTTTGCACCTCTTGTGCAATTCTCTAGCTCGTGTCCTTCCTTCCTTCTTCTTAATGCATCTTTCACCTTCATCAAAAAAAATATATGTATATGTATGTACTTGGTTCAAGAACTGTATCATTGAATGCTGTGAATATCTTTGGCACTGAAGATAAATTGGCCAGGCACAAAGTGTGAAAATATTATACGAGGCACTCTAAAATTTAAATAGAATTTGATCGATGAAAACAAAGGTTAAATGATATAGCGATCTAGTATCTCCATCAAAATTTAATCCATTTGATCATTTCAAGGAGGTACATTGGAATTGGATGCATCCATCCATAGTATTGGCCAAAAATCTCTACCTTCAGCCTGGCACCGGACTTTCCAGCCCAAATGCGATATGGATCCGATTCTGGAGTTCTCTAATCCATGTGGCCTCAGTAGAAGACAGGCCCACGCTGGTTCCATGTACTTTGGCCCAAGCAGATGCACCCAAATTAACTTACAATCTTGTTTTAATGGTTAATTTACAGTTTTCTTTCTCTTTAAACAAAACCACTTCAAATTATTTTGAATTGTATGTGTGTTTTATAAGGATGATAATTAGAGGCTTTATAACAAATTGGAATATGAGACCACCGAACCATTAGAAGATCAAGTACTTCTCAACTCTCCAGTTTGTTTGATTTGTGCATGTACCTGGGCATCGGCCCGAATACCAACACAAAATATATGGGCCATCCCGGCACAAATTTGAATATATAATTTATTTTTTAAATAAAAATTCATACTAAAACATCAAATACAAGATTCAAAAAACCCATTAATCTTTTTTATTAATCTTTTGGTTCAGTCCCTCTCACTTTTAAATTATGACCTTTTGTTTTGGCCAATGGCGGGACAATATTTTTGTCCCTTTTGGGGATTGGGTAAACATCAATCTTGTATTTCGCCCCACACTAAAATTCTAGTTCTCCAAATTCAAAAAATAAATATATGTAGGTGGTGGAGGGAAAAAAACCCATTATATCAATGTCTGATTTGATTTGTATCATATATGATATACGTATGTCTTTTGATAATTTATAAAATTCTTTTTACTAAACACAAAATGTTAACTTTAGCAACCAGAAACTGGTCCCGAATGTTGGAAACATGAAAGTAATAATAGTTATATGCATCAAATTGCATGGATGAGATCACCATAAGCAAATCAAACTAATATGGTCCCCAATAATTACAAGTCAATTTGAGTTGGTTTAGTAGACATTAAAAGTGACACAACTAGCTAGTCTAGAGTATATATGTACAAAACATCACTCTCCCCACAAAATAGTGTGGCCCCAAAATCTCCTTTTGTCTCAAAACAAATGTCAACAGCGCTAGACAAGGACCTGGAAAATCATAAGAAGGTCATTATAATGATGCTTAATTATATGTTTATAACCAAAGAGATTAAGAAGATGATGAGTATTAGTAGTGGCGGCAGCAGCTATCAAGTGTCAATTAGCATGCGTCATTAGTGACATGTGAAGGAGGATTGGAAAATGGTCCCCAAAACATGGGCACAAATGGCCATGCAACAAAAGGGTTTATTTATTTTTTCCTTACTGTTTTTGTCTCATATCAAGATGATTTTGGCAGTTCAGCCATCGTTGCAGTACTCCAAAGGATAACATTTAACTATTGACGAGTCGAGCTCGAGCTAGCTTGTTTACTAATATCTTGACTTTTATTTGGTACTTCATTTACTATATCATGATACATACGATTTATTTTGTTAGCTAATCTAATATTATACTTTGTTGGTATCATATTTCACTTGGTTAATAAATTTAACTACTCCAAATCATGTTATTTCATAGTATCGAAGCAATTTATGATACATAATTTCTTTTTATAGTAGAAAATAAGATATATTTGCTCACATACTCAACGTGTTAAACTTTATATATGGTGAGATATATAATTTAACAAATATATGAATTAAAATCATAAGATATAAATTGATTCGTCCATAATTCGGTAATCGAGTTGGCTCTCTAGCCACATGTTGAGACATATCATGAGCTCTAAACGAGCCAGCTCACGAGTTTAGCTTAACAAACCACCGAGTCGAGCTAGCTCGCGAGCTTCACGAGCTGAACAAAGTTTAGCCCATGTTCGGCTCGTTTATTGACGAGCCGAGTTTCGAACGAGATTCTCAACGTCCTCGTTGAGGTTTGCCTCACCATCGTTCAAGAGAGAGGCGGAGATGCTCTAATACCACATATAACATCCCAGACTTTTTCCCGATATGAGATACTGTCCGTTTTGAACCTAAACCCTCACAATTTTGGCATTATGCATGTGAAGAGTGCTTGTGAGTGGGCGTGGCTTCAATTAGAAAGGGGCTGACAAGCTTTTCAGGACCTTGGCATTTGGTTCAATTATGCACTCGTTCATCTCATCCCATTCCTGGAACCTTGGGAAGTTTTGTTTATTATGGTGGGGGAAATGCATGCCAAACACTCTTTATACAGAAAGCAATCAAGCAAAACAATCAAAGGGAGCCTGCTGCTGCTTACATCAAAGATTCTATACAAGAAAAAGTAGTAGCTTTACTTTGACCAAAAAAAAAAAAAAGTAGTAGCTTTACAAACATAGACAATGCTCTCTCTCTCTCTCTCTCTCTCTCTCTCACTCACTCCCTTCTTTTCTTTGAAAACTTAAAGCTTGTTCCTTCCAAACTCGCCCCTTCGATGACTGAAAGGCTCAGGCATGAAAAAGGAACCATGAACTAGGAACATGGTTCTCGAAGTACAGCGTGAAAAAGAGAATCAAATTTCAAGAGTATCTTACAGCGAGAACAACACAACAATCTGGCTTCTTTTTTCCCATGTACATTACCAAATGATAACAACTGGAGGCTTTACAGTGTTTTCATTCATTCAAACGAGGAATTCAGTCGATCCTGCACAACCGACGTGAAACATAGTTTACAGACAAAAAGAGCAACAAAAGAAGAAGCAATTCTTCTTTGGTAATTTCATCTACACTGCTGGTTTTTGAAAGGGTGCTTCTGCAATACCTGGACCGATCTTCTTTTTTCATACTCTTAGACCATCAGTTGTGAAGAAACCAAACAAATCCTCATTTTCGTTCTTCATTTGGACGATGGTCCTCTGTTGTTCCACACGTTGAAGGTGTGATGACAGCTGAAGCAAGTCCACTGTATGTTCGTTATCAGGAGAGCCACGGTTCTCGGAATTCGAAACAGCTGGTTTCACACGAAGCTCGGTAGCAGCATGATCAGTAGTGACTTGGATGACGGAGTTCATTCGAGGCGAGCAACACTTACATTTACCACACATACCTAAACTCTGGTACGAGTGACTCGACCCACTAGAGGATATGCCCTTAGGGTATTGTGCTTTGTCTGACAGAAGAGAGAGAGCACGGCTAGAATGGGTTGACAGCCCAGCTAGCTCGTGTGTGAAAGGTGAGACTGAGTAAACTGGTTGACTTGCCAGCCATTGATCACTAGTCACGGGAAATGCTGATTGAGGATTGGAACTTGGCTTTTCCCCAAACGAAGAAACATGGCTGTACCGGTTAGCTTCTGGAAAGTGATGACCACGTGGGAGCATATCTGGGAAAAGGAATGAGATTCTCTTTGGCAGAGGAGTGTCGAGAAATATACTGCCTGCAAAAATCCATAACACCATTAGTGTGTGGAGGTGGAAAATGGCTCAACATCCATGGAAACTATCTTTCAGAAGAAGCTTCAAGGCAAGGAAATGATGAACACCAGCAAATTGAGTGTGCAACCACCCAAGTTGTAAGGGCTCATTTGGATGGCTTTAATTGGTGATTGATTATGGCAATAAAGAGACATGAAAACACTAGCATGAGTAGATTTGGAAATACCACCCTGGCTAGATGATCTTTTGAAATCTCTTCACCAGGGGTAGGTAAATTACAATAATTTAACTAAATCAGACAAAAATGCAAGTAAACTGAGTGAGAGAGAGATAACAAAGAAATCTAGAAGTAATATTACCAAGGATAATTTGGTTTTGTTCACAACTTCTGCAATCTATTACCGAATCCACTTGATAATAACAAATCAATCAAACAACAGATTTTCACAATCTACCCCTATCGATCCTATTTTAAAATCTATCAGCGTTAAAAGCTATTAATTCTTAACAATCTATCCTTTCAATAACATACCTTAAATGACTTTAAAGTGGTACAAGAGTCCACATAATGATAACATCCATCCTTAATCTACTCTTATAATACCTTGATATTGGTGCAGTAACTTGTAGGCATTACTGGAGAAGCCACTGAACTGAGGCTTCCTTCTCCTTTCATTGTGGCCTGCTAGGCGTTTTCGACAGCTACGCTTGCCATCATCAAATTCACAAAGCAAATGGAACCTAAATTGATCAAAATACAAAGGGTTTAGAACAGGCTATGTAATAAATTTTAGAGCAAATGATTTTTCTTGTTCTTTCGTTTCCTTTTATTAATAAAAGTCTCAGTCACCTTCATAAGAAATAAAAAAAATAGAGCGTATGAAACGAGGAATTCATATGACAAGTAAACCAACCTGCTGCACTGCTGGCAAAACCTCTGTTCAATCCCATTAACAATGACCTTAGGAGTCTTAGTGTGGACCTCACACACTTTATGCCTCTTGTGGTAATCCTTCAAGGAGCTAAGGTCCTTATTACAACCATAGACCTGACAGTATGGAATCACGATTCGAGCTCTCTTCACCGGAGTAGCATGTTCCACAGAATGTAGCAGTGCTCTCTTATGACAAAACTCACTGTTCTGTGCACCCATGCAGTCAGCCAAACACCCTAGCTTCAAATTGATAAGTGATGATGAGCCTTGACTGCTGGATTCTATAGGGAAACTTGAATGGTTCGATCCAGACTCCAATGAGGAATTCGTAGCTACCAAGATGTGCGAATTAAAACCCAAATCACTACTACCAAACATCCCTAAAACAGGGTTGTTGTCATTGCCATAAGAGCAAGGACTTTTTAACACATCCTGGAAACCCAAATCAACAAAGTCCAGGCTATCAATTGATTTCCTGTCCCATTCTCCCACCTCTGTTCGACTTCTCAAGAACATGTCAACAGGGAAATCTACCTCATCAGTGAAGAAATGGGTTCTTCCATCTGAAGCATAACTCCAAGACTCCATCGTTTTACTACAGAGCAGAAGCTGGACAACTTGTGAGATCCCAGTGCCTAATAGGTTTCCAGAAAGGATAAGAAAACCATAGTCATTTGCAATTGCGAACTAATAATGTCAGGTGAAGTTTGATTTTATTTTGGGGAAGTAAGAAATTGAAAACCAACAACTCAGCAAGAACATAATATTCCCAGCAACTGTAATTCGATATTGAAGTAAGTGGCCAAAGCAACAGTAATTGCTATCAAGTTCCGAGACCGCTCTCTGGAATAAATTATTTGCATAGTTGAATTGCAGTGATAGCGACACTGCAAGAATAACCCAATAAAAGAAGGGAAGGAAAAGGAACACATAGAAAAATGACAATATCGACTTTGATTAATGATGATGACAGACACAAAACAACTAATTAATTGAACAATACCTAACTCTCTTCATTCAAAATAACTCACGGTAAGAAGAATACAGCCGCTGGAAACCGGTAATTCCCTTATTTACATTTATTTTCCCCTCCAATTTTCCCAGCAACCAAACAGCAAGGAGTCTATTGAAATACCCACAGAAACAGAAACAGAGATAGCAGCTCTCCGCAGCTTAAACTCAAGAAAGAATCAAACTTTAAAACATTCGGCTAGTGATCATTAACTCGGGATGGTTGAGAATTACAGAACAGGTAACTGGGATTTGGGATGTGCCCAGATTCTAACAAGCATCGGAGTTTTTCGGGAAACAGACGGCACCGTTGAACGGTAAAAATCCAGGAAATAGGTAATTAAAGCAAAATTAATGATCAGAGCTTTTCGTTTTCGCGCTTACCGGAAAAATGGCGATTGTCGAATGACAAGAAGTAAGGAATCAAGGAAGGTAGTAGACGTAGTATATGCAGTGGGAGTCGGCTTGATTTCCACAACTCACTCGGTCATCTCTTTCTCTGCCTCTCTGCAACAAAAAGGCATTTCAAGAACACTTCCTTTTGTAGCTTTTGAGATAACTTGTGAAATCCCACTGCTGCCATCACCAATTTTGCTTTATTTTCTTTGCTGCCCCTGACCAAGTTTCTTTAGTTTACATTTTTCTCAAGATATTGCGTGTATTTATTTATGAGTTAAAATTAGTATGCTCTAATTCTAATTATACAACTAGTTAATTGAAAAGCTTGGTTTAGAATGGTTGTGTTTTTATATGGTTTCTACTGGTTTCGGCAAAATAGACGAGACCATTTGAAAAACGGTAGACCGGACTGTATAGTTTGGTCCGAACTATTGACAGTTAAGAATAATCTGGTTTGGTTCATGGTCTGTATTATATGATATTCTAATCTCTTGATCTAGTCAGGTCTAGAACATGATTTACCATGCCAAACCGTGGACCCAGCAGACTTTCCAATACGTGTTAGCAGCCCACTCGATCACTCTCCCTACTCCCCCAACGAGACCCAAGTCTCACAACTACGTTTCATCAGAAAGTAGAGACGATCGTGTCTCCATATGACATTATTGTGCAAGTTGAGAATTAAGATGCTTTGACTTTGTATATTTGTTATTTACTTAGATTTAGAGTGTCAAAATTATTCATGCATGTTGGAATTCATATTTAAGAAAAAAAAATATTTTTTTTCACGGTTATTGTTTCAATTTTTCGTGTGTTGACTAAACAATTGTTCATTTTTTGTTTATAATGATCTATCTGAACCAGACCGTATCAAACCAGACCCCACTTGCGGGGTCTAGTCTAGACCGCACAGGCGTGATGTGGTCTAGATCGTAATAGTATGTGGTCTATACTCCAGACTCTCAGTCTGGACCATAAACAGTATATATGGTTTGGTCTGGACCAGAACACACCATTTTCCAGTCCTAGTTTCGAGCGGTTCTTAGTTAACAAAAAGTTAGAGGAAATAAGTGAGTTTTTCACCCAAAAAGATAAAAATGAAAGAGTAAATGACACTTGATAAATTGATCAGAAAAAGACACTACATAAAATTATACATATTTTTGGCTATTTTTTTATGAACGGATGGTATTCTATTATCATCAAAAACCAATGTACTATGAGGCAACACCCCTTGCCACTAAGGGGAAGGAACCAAAAGATGAACAATGCACTATAATCTAACTATTGCTATGTGTAATCTGCTAAGAACAGGAGCCAGAGAGACTAACTAAACTCATAGAAACACAACAACTTCCATCAGCACATATAATAGCCACTTCATCTTTAATATGCTTACAAGCAACATCCAGGCTTCCCACTGTTCCACCAACCCCTTGTTGAGCATCTAGATCTTCAAATATTATTGATCATCATGGATTTCCAGATAAATATCCCAAATCTAGAATGAGAGGCAACAGTCGAAAAAGAGTCCATAGCCCATTTAAGTTCAGCAGACCATAAATCTGAAGGGTACCTCCTTTAAAACTTAGAGAACAAGACAGTGAAAAGTGATTTATACCTATCACATTCTGCAAACAATTGATTATAAATTTCAATTTTGCAGTGACAGTAAACACAAAATGTAAGCCCTTTAAAATCCCAGCCTATCATTTTGTCACAAGTAGTTGTATACTCTTTATTGATTAGCCAACTTAGGAACTGATTCCTTGGGATGTAGGGTGTTTTCCATACGAGTTTGAACCAAGGAACAATAGTTGCTTGAGGCCTTAGTTCCTCCAAGACCAGCTTAGTAGAGAATTTTTTTTAGTATATTACCATTCCAGCACCCTTGACCTTCCTGCACTGCCAATTTATGCTGAGCCAGACTTCTAGTTTTGAGCACTTTTTGCCACAACCATGAACCGGACTTACAAGTAGAAGTCCAAAAATCTTCACCATGAAGTCTATACTCCCATATCCAAGCCACCCATAAAGACCCATGTTTAGTTAGTAGATCCCATATGTGTCTTACAATGCAAGCTAGGTTCCAGCTCTTCAAATCTCTGACTCCCAAGCCCCCTTCCATTTTAGGAAAATATATCTTATCCCAGGCAACCAACTTTTTTCCTTGTATTCTTTTGGCAATTTTTTCAATAAGAGGTCGACAAGCTTTAATAGATAACTTTCCAGGAATTAGAGGAATACCTATGTACCTGACAGGGAGAGAACCAAGCTGATAACCAGTCCTGGGTGCCATACTTTCCCGCCACTCTTGAGGAAGACCACAACAGTAAAGCTCACATTTTGCAGGGTTTGAAACAAGACCATACAGGGTTCTAAACTGAGCTAGGACATTATGTATGCAATGAATCCCATAATTTGTCCCATCCGAAAAGATTAGTAAGTCATCAGCAAACATTAAATGGGTTAGAGCAACACGTTTGCACATGAGATAGAATGACATTATGTTTTCACACTGCACCCTTCATAAGACCACTAAAAACTTCCATAGCAACTGCAAAAAGGTAAGGGGAAAGAGGACACCCTTGCCTCAACCCTTTCTTTGTTGAGAAATACCCTACTAACCACCCCCCCACCCCAATTGAAACCAACACTGGTCTTGGGAGTAGTAACACACATTGAGATCCAACGAATAAAATCCATGGGAATATTCATAGCTTCAAGCACAGTGATAAGAAATTTCCAATCAACCAAATCAAAGGCTTTCATTAAGTCCACCTTAACCACACACCTAGGAGACATATGCTTTCTGCCATATTTTTGAACCATTTCATGAGCCAACAATATGTTCTCTCCAATTATTCTACCTTCGACAAAAGTTGTCTAGTTCTCACTGATTATATGAGGTAGACATTCACTAAGCCTAGAAGAAAGTATCTTAGCTATACATTTGTAAAGAATTTTACAACAAGAAATTGGTCTGAAGTTTTTCATTTCTTCAGGGTTCTTAGTCTTAGGAAGCCGGGCATGAAGAGTGGAATTTACCTTACTAGGAAACACAAAATGCTGGAAACAATGCTGAATAGTAGCAGTGACCTCAACCCCAACTATACTCCAAGTAGCATGGAAATTATTTTTGGCTATTTGGATACTTATTTTTGTCAATTATTTCTCGTGTGCAGTGAAAAAAAGCATCCTAGATTTCAGTACTAATAACTCGTCGTTGGGCAATATACATCATGAAGAAGTCAATGAACAAGTCCCGTCTCACACAAATCAAAATGATGTGTGCCGAAATTCACAATATGGCATTTTCTACTAAATAGTTAGCCATAAATTGCATTTCCTATACACATGGAAGATTTGGACTCTCCAATTTCTATTACAAAGAAGCCTAAATTGCTTGGCTACCAGACCATGTATGTGGTTCTCGTCTTCGCAGTTTCTCATGATTGAGATGGCGGTTGTGGAGTCAACTTTGAGCTGGATATTCATGTGTCCCCCTTCCAAGCTAACTTCATCCCTTCCACTGCTCCTTTGATTTTGGCCGCTGTGACTGAGCATCTCCCATGTTGCATACATAAGTATAAGTGCATTTTCCTATGTGGTCTCTTAACAACCCCCTGTTGTTGCTCCCCCTGAGGGCAACAATACAAATCCATATGATTGAATCGGTACCCAGTCCTCAGGGGGTGGCTCCCAAGCCAACTCATTTTCCACATGTTCTATAATGATACGAGCAAAGCCAGAGGTGGAGCCAGGATTTAAGTTTGGGGGGGGGGGGGGCGGAGTTGTTGTGTCATAATAGCAAATGTGGAAAAATTAATAAAAAGTTAATATTTTAGAGATAATTAAATCATATTTTTGCATTTGCTTTTTGTTATTATAAAGGCATAATATATTATTAGAGATAATTAAATCATTCTAATAAAAATTTTATGCTGTGTTATGTTTAATAAATGAGTAACCTAAAAAAAAACCATGCATTTCAATGCATAATATGTAAAGACGATAGAACTCACTCATGGCTGGGTGTGTAGTCTGTACACCTAGTTTAGAAGCACAAAACAAATGCGAAAAACTATAAATGAACACCATCAATAGGAATCGAACCTGGGTCTGGTGGGATAAAATGGGAACATTGGCCGCTAAGCTACCTTCATATTTTGTGCTATACTATTGCTCACGATGGTATTCCATATAAAACTGTACTTTAAACGTAATTTTCCTAAACCGTAAAAAATTTTGTACGTAATTTCAAAATTCACGCGGGGGGGGGGGGGGGGGGGGTGGGGGGCGAGGGCCCACATAGCTCTGCCCCTGAGCAAAGCAATTCTTTCATCTTCAGGTAAATTCTCAAGGAGAAAATCTTCAAGGATAATGCCACTATTAACCAACGGGTGTCTCCAAAAGCTTATTGTAGTCCCATCTATAATGCTCCAGCTGGCTCCACTCTTCATAATTAGGAGTAGCGCTCTTATGATTGCTTTTCATAAGTTGGAGTGGGTGCTTTTCTTCATGGAATCAATTCTCCCATCCTTGGTTTTGAAATACTTCCCTTGGAGCACCTAAACCCAAAGATCAGAGTCATTATAAGAAGTTGCCATCCAAACTGGATCATATAAGCACTGTTGTGACTCCTAACAGATCTAAGCCACAATCTCCCTGGTCTTTGGCCTTACAAATGGTCTCCCAAAACATCAGGTGCATCTTCATCTTCCCCTCCTTAGACCAACTTCAATGCTAGTCCCCAAATTTGGGGATCTTCATTTTTTCTAGTTTTTCTTTACTTAAAAATGTACTTATAATCATTTTAATATAATTTTTATGTTAATTTTTTATACTTCGTCATTATATTTAAATACAAATTTTTCGAAATAATTTTGTTAAATTTCAAGACCAATTTTTTTTTCGCAAAAAAAAAAATGATTAACCTAATTTGGGTTTACACACAACACTTGAAAATGATAAACACACTTTTAAATATTTTAAAGAGATCAATACAAAAAATTAGTAAACAATTAAACAAAATATCATCTTAAAATAGCCATTAAAGCCCTAATTAGAATCCTAATTAATCTCCTAATTAAAACCTAAAAAATAGAGGCGCTCTCCCGCACGTGCGGCGTATCGCCGGGGGTGGCGGTTGTCCCTGCCACCGCCACCACCACTTCCACTCCCCAAATTTGCAGGAATTGGCAAACTCTTCCCCAATTATAGCGAAGCAGCTACCGATTCTCTCCAAAAAAGCCGACCCTCGCCACCCCCCCCCCCTCCCTTGGCATTGGAGCTGCCCATTCGCCGATTATGGCGACAATCCCAAAATCGGAGACTCCATTGGAGTCAGTCTTAGTACCCCAAACAAGGTCACAGATATTTCTTTCAATAGCCTCGCACACCGAAACCGAGAGTATAATGGTTGACATCACTAGTTGGGGAGAGCATTCAGAACGAAAAGGGCCAAGGTAACTCTTCCCGCAAGAGATAGAGTGCTAGCTTTCCAAAAAGAAAGCTTTTGATCCATCTTGTCCATAATGAGTCTGTTGGTAAACTTGTTGATTCTACCATGTAAAATAGAAATACCTAAGTACCTACCCAAGTCCCTAGTTTCTTGGATTCCCAGCGTATCACATATATTCCTCCTAGTATGCTCTCTATTGTTCTTGGAATAGAAGACCCTAGACTTATCTTTTCTAGAAGTTCCCCTAAAGCATCATAAAACTGATTCAAACAATTCAACACAATATCATCCTAGTCATATGTTGCTTCAGAAAAAAGAACTAAATCATCAGCAAAGAAAAGGTGGGAGAGGGTGCTCCAATAGAGAGTCTAATGGGTTTTCAATTCTTATATTTAACTTCATGAGAAATAAAGTGACTCAACCTCTCCACACAAAGAGTAGAAAGATAGGGTGATAGGAGACATCCCTGAGAGCACTCAGTTGGGTTTGAAACTCTTAGTGTATCTCGTTGGATGAGACACATTGCACGATGAGATTAACACAACCTCGGGGGATACCAGCAATTGAGAGAGTCTCTTCCAAGAATTGCCAGTCAAGACGATCGTAAGCCTTAGCCAAGTCGACCTTTAGAAGCATGGTTCCTATCTTTCCTGTTATTCTTGATATTATGTGGATAGTCTCATGCAGAATGAGAATATTTTCAGTAATATGTCTATCCGAAACAAAGCTTGATTGGCTCACATGAACCAATGGAGGCATCAACAATTTGAGCTTGTTATCCAAACACTTAGCAAGAATTTTATACGTCACATTGCATAGACTTATTGGTCTGAACTAACTCATAAAAGCTTGGGCTTACACTTTAGGGATCAGAACCAATAAAGTGTCATTAATAAGACGAATACTCCATGGGTCTGCAAAGTAGGAGCAAAGGAAAGTGTAGAGATCCTTGTTGACGAGGTTCTAGCATCGTTGGAAGAACACAACATTAAAATAATCTATGTCAGGTGCTTTGAGACCACTCATCCCTTTTACGAACTCTTTGACCTCGACCAAGCTGGGGGGGGGGGACTTTCTATTTGAGCTGTATAAGTACTATTGATCGCAGGAAATGTGGTAGGGATGCTTGATTTGTTCGACACAACCTCCCTAGTATATAACTTAACCTTAAAACTCCATTGCCATAGAGATAAGGGCATCACTGTTAGTTATCCACTCTCTATTGACAGCTTTCAGCCCTGTAATTTTGTTTCTTTTTCCCTGCTAAGACTAATGTTATGGAAGTATCTTATGTTTTGGTCACCATAAATCACTCAATTCGCTCTTGATTTTTGCATCCAGAGGATTTCCTCTTGACATAGAGTGTTTTTAAACTCTTCTTTGACCTATCTTTCCTTGTCAATGGAACTTGGCGTTGCCGCCCTCTTATTAAGGAACTCAAGGCTTTGCAACTCGTTTTTTTTTTTCTTGTGCCTAAAAATGTTTCCAAAGACTTTCTTGTGCCACTTTTTGAGTTTCTCAGCCAGAACCTGCAAAGCATAAGGGAAAGCTGTGTGCACTCCCAAGATATAGAGCATGTGGATTAAAATCATCATGCGCACATCAACATGTTATGACGGAGTTTGCAGACTCCTTTTATTCTGAAATTTTGGATTCTGGTGGAGAAAATCTACCGAAGAAAGAAAGTTGTTGTTTGGATGCTATGCTAGTAGTATTGTTACTAATCCAAAACTGGACTCCGAATTTTTTGTTGTCGAACTTGTGTTCTCATTCAAGTCGTCTAGCTGAATGGGATCAATGATTGGAATGTTATTATGCTAGCTATGGGCACCACCAGGTCGGTTGAAGAAATCCTAAACAAGGGGGGAAAACTTGTCCATCTTGCTTTCTTACCAGTCAGAGCCCAAAGAAGCTGTACAAAAATTTCTATTTCTGTGCTCGCCAATCGGGGAAAAACGGCACGTTTGGGCTTTAAGGTGTTGTCTTTATATTTTTGCTTTTTTTTCTTTAGAGGATGAATTTGACTAGGTTCCACTATGCTTAGCTTACTGATATTTTTGTGTTCACATTTTGGGACACCCTTCAAATTTCAGGCCTAGAAAGAACAAGTTGGGTGATGGCACATCAACAGTGGCCATTGATGAGGTTTCTTTAACTGTTCAATTCTGTGTCATGTTAGATGAGGATCACTGGTCACACTTGTTGTATTCTTATAGTGTGTTCCTCTTTATATTCTTAGGGCATACACATTCTTCTTAGGGGCGGACCAAGTAACGGGAAGTTTATGTCTTACAACACACCCTCGCCCAGAAATTTTCTGAAAGACCTATATATTTTTTGTAAAAGTTTTTTCAATTCCGGACTTAAAATACCACTCAAATAATTCTGAGCGACACACCTTCATTAAATTAGAATGATTTTATTGTTATAAAGTTATTTATCTTAATTAGTAATAAACAATTATAAGTAAATCCAAATAAGTCTGTTTGTTTTAAAGTAACTCACACCACAACCCAACAATGAAAAAAATAAACATAACCCCATCCTTTGAAACTCACTGTTTTCAATCCTTGACCCTTCCTTTATTGAAAATAAAAAATGAAATGAAAAACTCATACTTACCCCTTTTTAGTTTCTAACAGAGACTCACTGCCACATTCACTTTACTTTTATCCTCTCACTTTCCTCTGTTTATTACCAAGAGAGATCAGAGAGAAGCTCATGTCGCCCCCGAGTCCCGAACGTCAAATGCCCCTGCCACAATCTGCATCCCGCAACTTCTTCAAGCCGACCGACGATCACTTTTCTATGTCAAGTTTTGAATAATCTAGCATATCTAAATGTAAGTAATTTGAAGTTAGAAAAGGAATCCAAAATTGCAAATCAAGGTTGGCTGATGAATTTTCGAGACCCTGTTCCTAAGTGTAGATGTGACCCAAACTTTTTTCATAAAATGATGAATAATTACTTTATTAAAAAAATCATAACATAATGAAAATAAAATTATAACATTATTTTTTTAAAATTAAAATTTTCTTGCATGGTTTGATTTCCAATTATCTATAAATTGCGCGCTCGAGGAAAAAGGCAGATGACTAATAATCAATTATTTTGTGTCGTTGTCGTTAAAATGACGATGATTTATTAGAGCTAAAACACGAAGATATATAAAAAATTGATTGTTGAGAGATTAAGACAAATAAAGAATTTAAATAATAACTCTATTGAGAATTAGTTTATTTACTAAACCCATCAGAATAGGTTACGAGAGCTCAATTGAATAAAAAAAAGATAATCTTTAAAAATATAAAGGGGAGAAACCAAGAAAGAGATAAAATATCATATGAGTAGAAGTGAGCATTTGAATTTTAAATGTTAAACTTGATACTAACTATTTATACAAAAAATATTTATCATTATTTTTATTTTATCGTTTTTTTACAACGATAGAGTGTTTATGTTTAACTTGAAAATTCACTAATTACTGGGGAGAGTGCGACTAATTGATGAACAAAGAATTCTTTTACCGTTGCCATTTCTACTATTAATTATGCATCAAGTGACTTCTATTTCTAATGAGATATTAAATAGAAAAAGTAGCCAATACACTTTCATTAGACCCATGCATCCCCCCCCCCCCCCCTCGGTTAGCCCATGTACGAAAGTATTATGAATGTATTTTTTGGACAACGACGAAACATCTTTTGGGCTAAAATTTTATGTTATTTGATGGACAGGTCATCCATTATCCCATATGATATGATCCAAATTGGATAATTCTAATAGTCACAATTGTTTGACAAGGAAGCAATTTAAATTGGCAAGAAAAGGGGGAAATTTTGGCCAAGTGTTGGAACTGTTTCGAGATGCCTATTTTGGAGGCTTGGTTTGCACAATTGGCTTGATGAAAATTTAAGATTAAGGGTTTATATTGAAGACCAAGCGTTTACCTACATGTTGGAAGCATTAGTGAATCCAGAAACCCTTTGGTTTTGTGCAAGTTTGCGAACTTGTGAGAGTTTGGGGGATTCCAAGCTTGTGAGCTTTGTATCAATTGAATAGTCTCTTCAATCTTGGTCAAGCAACTATCCTGTTATACCAATCGAGCTTTACCCAGGTGTGGAATTTTCCGTTGGTCCTTTTTTATCCAAATTGTACCAAGAACGTGTTGTTTTTTGTTCGAGTTTAATCAATCCTTGGGATTGATTGTATGTTGCGTAACTTTGATAAACATACAATCCCCTATGATGGTATTACCATATTTAGCATTTTATTTTCATAAGAGACACATAAGTTGATCCAATAACATATAATTAATACCAAGGCTTGCTAGAAAAGACCCCAACTTTAATGAGCCTCTGTGCTGACGGGCCGACCCTGTTGCAAATTTTAGGATTTTTCCACCTTTCCCATTTTCCCCCAATTTAACTTTTCAATTTGTAGTTAATAGGTGAATATAGTAGGTTTATGGTAGATTGTGGTTTGATTTTGGTTAATGAAATGATATTAGGCATACTTTGTTTCGTCAAATACTTCTGATTTATATATGATTGAAAACATTTATTTTATACTTTGATTTCAGATGGGGTGAAAGGTTGGAATATGTAGAAGCGATTAGATGATCATGTTAGCGCTCCTAATAGTTTTCACAATGTGGCTGCAAAGAAAGTTGAGGATTTGTTGAGACAATCATTGAGCATCTCACGTGAATTGGTGAGACAAATGGATAGACAAAAAAGAGAATATTGAATTTGTTTGCAGGAGTCAGATACTACCGTTAAGGCTCTTCTGCACCAAAGATTGTCATTTGAAGGCCACAATGAAAGTGAATCTTCGGAAAACAAAGGAAATTTTTGTTACCTTTTTTAGGTAATTGCTAATTAGAATAAGGAAGTGCAAAGTTTTGTTGGAGAATGCTCTGAAAACCTTCAAATGACTTCTCCCAAGGTTCAAAAGGATATTGTTCGAGTAATATGATCTGTAATAAGTCAGGACATCATCAAAGATCTTGGAGATTCCTTCTTCTGCATATTGGTGGATGAATCATGTGATGTGTCAATTAAGGAACAAATGGTTGTGGTTAAAGTTATGTCACTAAGAATGGTTGTGTTATGGAGAGATTTCTTTGATTACATGAGCTAAGTTTGGCAAGGGTGAGGGGGGAAAGGGTATGATGGGGCTAGTAACATGAGAGGTGAAATCAATGGATTGAAATTGTTAATCTTAGCGGAGAATCCATCTGCTCATTACATTCATTGCTTTTTTCATTAACTTCAGTTGACATTAGATGTATTGAATAAGATGCAGTTTGGCAAGGGTGAGGGGGGAAAGGCCCGCTGATACACGACGAGGATCTCATCTGGGGTCACTTACAAATCTTATGGAAGTGTTCAATTTTGTGGTCGATGTATTGAATAAGATGCAGTTTGGTGGTTTAGGGAGGCGGTAAAGCCGCTAGTTCTCTGCTTTAAATGCAAAATTTTGAGTTTGTATTTCACATGAAGATGATGATTGAAGTGCTTGCAATTAAAAATGAGTTATCTATAGCATTACAAAGAAAAGATCAAGACCTTGTTAATGCTACGGAACTTATTAACTTCTCAAAGAAGAGATTGCAAGAGTTGATAGATGAAGGATGGAAGCCTCTATTTGATGATGTGGTTTCATTCTGCACTAAGGAAGAAATTGATGTTCCTTACATGAATGACTTGTCCACTCTTGCTGGAAGAAGAAGACGTAGCACTCCTCGTCAGTCTACAAACTTGCATTACTATCAAGTTGATTTGTTCTACATAGTCATTGATTTGCAATTGCAAGAATTGAATATCAAATTTGGTGAGGTGAATACTCAATTATTGGGCTGCATTTCTTCTTTTAGTACAACTAACTCTTTTGCTACTTGTGATAAATCAAAGTGGATGAGTCATACTAAGTTTTATCCCGAGGAATTCCCATCCAATGTGCTCTCACAACTTGGTCAGCAATTGAAATGCTACATTTCTCATATCAAGAAAGATAGGAGCTTTGATGGATTGCGAGGAAAGGATACTTATTATCCTTTAGTTTACTTGCTCGTGAAGTTGGTGTTGACTTTACCTGTTGCAACTGCAAGCTGCAAAAACATTTTCAGCTATGAAGATAATCCAGAATGAACTTCGAAATTAGTTGAGTGACCAATTTATGAATGATTGTTTAGTTGTGTATATCGAAAATGATTTGCATTGCAACATAAGCGATGAATGTATTTTACAGATATTTTAGGACATGAAAAGTCATCATGGCTCGTTGTAAAACATGACATTGTGAACTTTATGAATTAATTTCTAGTAAATTATTTTTTTTAATTATTATCTTATTTTATCGGTGACACACCTCTCCGACAATTTTGGGCCTGCCACTGATTCTTCTAGTGTCCCCCTTAAAGCTGTTGATGTTTCATTTGCTTGCAGGGGGCATCAGCAGCAAAAGAGATGAATTTTGTCTGAGATGTGGAGCAAACCAGGCTTGCAAAATGCTTCCATTTTCAAATTTACATGAGTGGTATAAAGTATTATTGTACTATGAATGAATATGCTTAATTTCTATACTCTATATATTTCTTGCGTGGAAAACAAGGTCCCTCTATTTTGGTACTATTGAAGCAATATCTGTCTATGTTAGCATTTGGTAAATCCTATATACTATTCAACGAAAAATATCCTATATACTCGTGAGAAAACAAAGATTTTGTTTAAAAAAAAAGGAGAAAACAAAGATGAACGATTGAGTGCTCGAGAATTAAATTTTCATCACTTTAGATATAACTTATGTTTATATAAACTAGAGTAATTGTTAAGGTACTTTGTTTGATGAACTTTGAACACAATTCTACTACTTATTTCGTCTGTCCTAATTGAGAGAGGTATAATTTTCCTTTCCGTCCTCCGTTCTTCCAATTTTTCTTAGATTCCAAACAACTATCTCCCATGGGACCATGCGGTCTAGTCGACGATTGAGGATTGTGGCCGTCATGCTCGAGCTATACTACAACAAGATATTTAGTCATGATCTGTACCTAGATAAGATTCTGTTGGTCTAGAACTAGAGGGACTGTTCCTTTGTTTCTTCATTTTTTATGGAACCATTGCATTCAAAGTTGTTTATATGATGGCTTAAAAATGTCTTTCAAAAATTATTCTTTTATCGGATACTTCTACCGAAGTTGCTAGTTTGGACGAGTGCTCATTGATTGAAAGGATCTGGCCTTTCAAGTTCTCATGGTGGGAGATCACCCAACGTGTCTGTCGAGATGAAGTTGATGTG